AGGGGAGGGACAACCTCAGGAAGAGGAAAGGGGGACTTGAGGGAAAAGTCACAACCAGAGAATGTGGGCAGCCTCTGGAAGTTAGCAGAGATGGAGAGCAGACTGCCCAGTAGAGCCGAGCTTTGACTTTAGCCTCAAGGTTACGAAGAACAGTATCAGACGGTTGTCAATCTCTTGGTAATCTGGGGAACTAGATGAGGCTACACATTGAGTTTCACTTGAGTGCTCTCTGTCTTCTGTATTTTACATTTTTCCATGGCTGAGTAAAGTGGAAGAGAACTGTGGCCTTGGGGACCAGGACAAATGATGAGGCTGTGGCACTAAGGAGTGTTCTTTCTCCCGGGGCTGCAGAGATGGCTCAGAGGTTAAGAGCATTTAAGGCTCTCACAGAGGACCCAAGTCTCATTTCCCAAACTAGAACCAGCTGGCCCTCAAACACCTGTAACTCCAGGTCCAGGGGATCCAATGCCCTCTTCTGACTTCACCTCTTTACAGACACAGACAGACAGACAGACAGACAGACAGACAGACACACACACACACACACACACACTAAAAATCATTCTTAAAGGGAAAGGGCTCTCTTATGGAAGTGTGTCTGTCCTTGGTCTGGGTTGTCAGATCAACCTGAGCATTTTTTAATCTGAGGCAGATGGATGCGGCCAGCCACCTGTTCCTGGTCAGCATTCCAGAATCAGGGCGTCTCCAGCTTGCTTCAAAGAGCAACGAGGAGATTCTTGAGGCAGCTTGGCCATATCTGTCATCTCTCTGTCTGACACTGGTGATGAGGCTGCTCCAAAGAAGATGGGCAGAGTGCAGGAAAGGACAGGCCCAGGCCTGCAGTCCTTTGGGCTCTGAAACCTCAGCTGTGCTTATTTCTGTCTTGAGGACCGAGGTTCCTCTTCCCTTTAAAGACTCTTAATGAATAAGCAGGGTGTTCAGGTACCAGAAGGAGGCAGGGGTTGGTAGCAGTTCCGAGCCTGAGGCTTTCAGCTGATTTTGTCTGCTAACAAAACACGAGCTTTCCTTCTCCGAGTGATGCTGGGACAGCCCCCTAAAGAGGCTTTGGGAATGGATCCAACTAGGGAACCAGTGAGATGATTCAGCAACCACAGACTGGCAAGGCACAAGGCATTTCTAGCTGCTGACCGAGCTCTGCTACCCAGTTTACAGGGCTGCATCAGCAACCACCACCAGCAGCAAGGCCTGGATACCTTTGCTCTGAGATCATCATCAAGGAGCAGGGAGTCCTTAACTACTCAATGGCTTCACCCAAGGCCTGTACATGCCATAGACCTGGACAACTCAGAACTCAGACTTGCAGGCCAGACTTAGATGGCATGAGACATGCCAAAGCTCTCCCAGATGGTCCCAGTCACACCCAGATGGTATGATTCAGGTTGGGGTCACTTAGCCTCTATGCAACAAGTCACTTCCCCCTAAATCCTTGCCCATAGCCCCTTGCAAGTTTGGTTATTAGCCAGGTGTTGGTGGCACACACCTTGAATCTCACCACTTGAGAGGCAGAGGCAGGCAAAGCTTTGAGTTCAAGGCCAGCCTGGTCGACAGAATGAGTTCCAGGACAGCCAGGGATACACAGAGAAACCCTGTCTCCAAAACCAAACAGCCTGCATATTTTTAATTGATGTAGTTTGTACGTTTGCGATCCATTCACAGGCTTGTGGTGAATGAATAATGTTTTAAAGATTTCAGAGAAAGGGACGGTGTATCAAATGAGACTA